GCAGCTATGACATACAACTATCTACTGGGGCTTTGGGGGGAAAAAAATAAAATAAATAAAATCTTAAAAAAAAATAAATAAATAAAAATAAAAACATCAATTCCTTGTGATGAAAATGATTTCATCTCCTTCTTCATTGTTCACTACAGGCCTCAGCATGACATGAAGCAAAGGTCAGCCCTGGATGAGATGTTAATGAATGAAAACATGGTAAGGGCCTGGGAGCACTTCCTGCTTTTCCCCACCAACAATTTCCAAGAGGCCTGGTTAGGCCCAATCTTCAACCCAGGCCCTGAGATAGATATATTTCCTTGAAGAATGCCAATGCATTATAAACTGGCAGGTCCACTTGGTGGAATAAGAATATTCTTTATGAGAAGCATTAGTATTCACTTATCTCTTATTTTTCTATAAAACAGCAACTCTTCCTTTCTCTACATACTCTCCAGGAGACAGACAGTGTACTGACAAGTTAGAGCTCAGGCAAGAGAAAGGAAGCATTAAGACTTCAGACCTCACCACAATGCCTGCGTTCAGGGGCCTGGGTGCTGAGAACCACCAGTTATGGGTGACAGCTCCCCCTCAACACACAAACAGATGGAGGTCACAAGTGGCCAGCACAGCCTTGTCTTCTCCAGAAAAGAGTGCCCTGGTCCTTCCTGCCTGTGAAGAGGCGGTTATGAGTCCCACCAGAGAAGGGAATTAACTGAAGTCCAGAAGGGCTTGGCTGTGAATTTGCCCAGGTCATAAAATGTATGAAAGGATCAAGCAGCACATTCCTCCAAAAGAACATCTGCTCCCACTCTCTGAAAATCCGGAGACCCCGACTTATACACCAGCCTCCTGAGGGCTCTACACACAATAATCATTTCTGCACCCCTTGGCATGCAGATCAGCATAACTGCCCAGCCCCTGAGCATGGACTCTGATGGCCTGCAGAATCCCCAGAAAGTCTGGCCTTTGAGAAAGTGCATCATCCCAGTGGCTTCCACATGCAGAGGTGGGAATACAGACTGCCACACCACAATGCAGGTGCTGCAATTTGCCTGTACAATAATCAGCAGCAGAACCAGAAAGCTCCAGAATGGGAACACTCCTTGTCAAGTTAGTAAGTAAAGTCAGCTGCCTCAGGCATCCTGAACTACTCTTGGTACACTGCTCTCTAGTGGTGTCTCACGACATACTTCCATCCACAGACAAAATTCAACCAACTCCTCCACTGCTGTGTCAGGTAACATTGTGAAGCCACAAAAACCCATAACAGTCTCACAATATTAACAAAACGTCATTTTTTGTGTGTGTGAGAGGAAGATTGGCCCTGAGCTAATATCTGTGCCCATCTTCCTCTATTTTGTATATGGGACGCTGCCACAGCATGGCTTCTGGTGTTAGGTCCACGCTCAGGATCGGAACCTGCGAACCCCAGGCTGCCGAAGCGGAGCTTATGCCACCAGGCTAGCCCCAATAAAATGTTATTTTTATTAAAAATTTATGAAAAATAAAAACAGCATCCATGATGTGTAAAATATCTTGCACACAGATTTGCACACATTGGCTCATTTATTTCTCATAATAAATGTCCTAAGTAGATACCATTACAATCAATATACAGCAGAGGAAACTTAGAGGATAGAGTCAATTAATGACACACTCAAGGTTACCCAGTTAGAATGTGGTAAGTCTGCTTCCTTTCACAGCCCAACTCTGAGAAGCTGCGTTTCTGTACATACACCTTACAGTCTGGTCGTGGCGATGATTCCTCAACATGAGTAACGTGACCTAGAGCAGAGATCAGTCAGCTTTCTAGAAAGATCAGATGGTACACTGTTGAGGCTTTTCTGGCCATGTGGTCTCTGTTGCAACTGCTCAGCTCTTTGTGGCACCAAAGCAGCTCACAGACAACATGTAAAGAAATCGACGTGGCTGTGTGCCAATAAAACTTTATTGACATAAATAAGTAGCAGCTTGGGCGTGTGGGCTGTAATTTTCCAACCCCTGATCTAGAGCAGTGCCATCAAACAAGAAGACACTACAGACAACGTATCTAATTTTGACTTTTCTTGTAGCCACCTTATAAAAAGTCAAACTATTAAAATTAACTTTAATAGTATGTTTTATTTTGCCCACTAAATACAAATATCACTTCAATATGTATCCAATATAAAATAATGATTGAGATATTTCTAGAATTATTTTTGTCACACTAAGTGCTACAAATCTGGTATGGATTTCACACATACAGCCCAACTCAATTCTGACTAGCTGTATTTCAAGAGCTCAACAGCCACACGTGGCCTGGGGCTACCGTACTGGACAGTGCGGATCCAGACCCTGCTAAGGACTGTGGAGACGAGGAAAATGAAGCATCCTTTTCACGTCTGCAATCCTTGGGCTCCTTCTCCTGGCAACGCCCTTTGTCTCAGGCAAGTTGCTTCTCCATATGCTCATAACCCTGATTCTTTCATTTGCTAAAAATCTATATAGATGATAGTTCCTACTGCATGCAGCTAGAGATATAGCACTTAAGAAAAGGGAGAAATTCTGGGCCGGCTCCGTGGCTTAGCGGTTAAGTGCGCGCACTCTGATGCTGGCGGCCTGGGTTCGGATCCCGGGAGCGCCCCGAGGCACCACTTCTCCGTCCAACGTGAGGCCGAGTCCCACGTACAGCAACTAAAAGGATGTGAACCTATGACATACAACTGTCTGCTGGGGCTTTGGGGGGAAAAAAACTGAATAAAT